CATTTTACAACTTTGTAAAAATACTCTAGCCATTCTGAATATATAAATTACACTGAAGTTCTTTCAAATCTATATATTGCTTTAAAAATCACAAACATTCCAAATCCCAAAACGTGATCCATTTATTTAATAATTAAATGCTCTTAATTTACTACTCCTTATAATTTCAAAAGACAGCAGCATAAACGATTTGCGACCTATTTGAAGAATGGCCTTCTCAAAAAATAACATTACTTAGAACTAACCTCCTTAATATCTTACAGGTCCAAACTTACCACTAGCCAACCCTTGGCCGGATGGAGCTACAACTTTGCCCGTGCCTATTCCAGCCTCCCCGAACACATCAGGGTGCCGCTGCCCGCCCTATCGCCCACCATGGAGCGCGGATCGATTGTCAGCTGGGAGAAGAAGGAGGGTGACCAACTCAACGAAGGTGGGTAGGCCGGACTCACCAATGCCGGAATCCCATGAATAATTATATGAAAATCCAATTTCAGGTGATCTGCTGTGCGAAATCGAGACCGACAAGGCCACGATGGGCTTCGAGACGCCCGAGGAAGGCTATCTGGCCAAGATCCTCATCCAGGGTGGCACCAAGGACGTGCCCGTCGGCCAACTGCTTTGCATTATTGTTCCGGACCAGGGCAGCGTAGCGGCCTTTGCGAATTTCAAGGACGACCCATCCGCCGCACCACCAGCTGCTCCGGCAGCCGCTCCAGCGCCAGCAGCTGCAGCAGCACCACCACCACCTGCTCCGGCTCCAGTAGCAGCCGTCCCCGCCCCAGCTCCAGCCGCTGCTCCAGCTGCAGCAGGTACAGGCCGTGTGTATGCCAGCCCGATGGCCAAGCGACTAGCCGAGGCACAACAGCTGCGTTTACAAGGTTGTTCAATCCCAACTAATGCCACTCTATTCTATTTATCCCGTCCGATATCGTTCTGCATGCACTGCCTGACTAAAACCATCGCAATCCATTACTGAATTTGGAAGTATTCAGGTCTTTAAATGCAAGGTCTATTAGAATAGTTTTATCTGTAATGTTAAGATAGTATCAGCATACTCGGATAGAAATAGTTGTTCAAGCTTTTTTTAACTAGGAACATTTTTTTTATAAAGTTGTAGAAAGGAAAAGGTATGAAGGTTTTTGTCACTTAAAACAGTTAGTTTTTATAATGCTTTATAATTATTTATTTTATAGCTTTAAAAATTGTATATTTCGAAATTCTTATCTAAAACAAAACGCGTTGCAAAGTCTACAATAGTATAGATACAATATTTCAACATTTAATGAAATAAGCTTTATTGGATTGCATTTTTTTAGAATATTTATAATAGGTTAAATGGTTTTTAGCTAGTTTTGTTTCTGGCATGAAAAACTTTCCTATCACACAATCCAAAAAAAACCCACACCTTTCCATTTATCGCCCCAGTCCAAATGTTCTGTTACTAATCCGCGGCTTTTGTGTGCAGGCAAGGGCAGTGGAGTCCATGGCTCAATTAAATCTGGTGATCTTGCAGGCCAGTCTGCGGCAGCCAAGCCAGCTGCTGCGGCTCCTGCCAAGGCTCCGAGGGCAGCCGGAGCTCGGTTCGAGGACATCCCTGTGACCAACATGCGGGCTGTTATCGCCAAGCGCCTTCTGGAGTCCAAGACCCAACTGCCTCACTACTACGTCACCGTGCAATGCCAAGTGGATAAGGTGAGTGATTGCTTTATCTATTAGAAATGCGTAGAAATTGTTCCTTGCAATTTTTGTATTTATTGTTTCATATTTAAGAAGCCTTATAACCTTTACATTTTTATTTCAACTGAATTTATTTGATATTTTAGTGCATAACAAAAATATTAAATCATGAATTATCTTGTTATTTTTTTTTCCCAACAACTTTTTTATAAGGTAATGATGTGCATTTTTAATTAAGAGAGTGTGCCATAGAATTTTTGAACAGCCCGATGAATATTGTAGGCAAACCAATTAATTTCCAAAAGATAATCCCCTTCTGGAAAAGGTAGAATCTTTGTAATTTGATTATTTACAATATTTGTGCTTAACTTGTCGAAAATAATGTCATGCTGAAAAAAAAAAATAATATTTATTATTTGGTATATGTCATATTAATATGGCACTTACGTCATACGGACAGGAATGGTTTATATTTGAGGAAGAAGTAATAAAATCATAAAAGAATTTATTAATTGGGAAAGTATTAGGACTTTTCATAAACTTGCAGGCGTCAACTGTGACGTTATATAGAAATGGCTTATAGCCATTAAACCGTTTTTGCAATACTAAATTGACCTAAAAGAGAGGAAGAGCTCCATATTAAATCGTGTTAATTTTGTCGTATGCTTACCTTTGCATCAGTAACAGTTTTCTTTAATGAATATTTTGCAGATAAATATTTATAGGTGCGATTTATCGATTTAAGATAGCAATATTCAAATTCTCCAAAGTCCTTGTCTGTGGAATTACATTTACAGTTTGTAAACTCCCACCTGGAAGAAATCTTTAACACAATTCACACCTATGATTTTTATACTGTTTTGACAGCCCATTACGTACTTTTAAAATAAAATACAGGATTACAAAGATCTGAAGCCAAATGCGACCCATTTTGAATCACCAACAGTTCAAATGAATTTAGAATTTTATTCGCATTGTTACTCAGTCGTAAACTATTTAAACGAAATACTAATTAAAAAACGATTAAAAATTGATGCATTTGATTAGGCATGACACGGGTTTTTAACCATTTGGACTGAATCTTAATTAAAAATCAAAAGTATTTGTAATATTCAAAATAAAAATGCTTTAATGGGAATACTAAATTTTATTTCGTAAGTATGTAGGAACATCCTCAATATGTTCTAAATGAGTCTTTTTTATAAGCCTTAATTTGCATTGAAAAAGTGAAGTAAAAACTGTGTCTTAAATTGCAGCTTTTGAAGTTCCGTGCGAAGGTGAACAAGAAGTACGAGAAACAGGGCGCCCGCGTTTCTGTGAACGACTTCATTATCAAGGCCGTCGCCATTGCCAGTCTCAGGGTTCCGGAGGCAAACTCCGCCTGGATGGACACTGTTATCCGGCAGTATGACGATGTCGATGTATCGGTGGCCGTCTCCACAGACAAGGGCCTGATCACCCCGATTGTCTTCAATGCCGACCGCAAGGGTGTTTTGGAAATATCCAAGGATGTCAAGGCGCTGGCAGCCAAGGCACGCGACAACAAACTGCAGCCTCATGAGTTCCAGGGCGGCACCATCTCGGTGTCCAACCTGGGCATGTTCGGTAGGCGATTTGATTATGATACCTGATTTGAATTTATTAATATACATTTAATCCTTTTATAGGTGTGAACCAGTTTGCTGCCGTGATTAATCCCCCTCAATCGTGCATCCTCGCCATTGGCACCACAACGAAACAGTTGGTTGCGGATCCAGACAGTGTAAAGGGGTAAGATTAAAAAGCAGTAAAATATAATAACCCAAAAAAATACGAAAGTGTTAAAAAAAAAAAATTTTGGTCGGTTTCTTACATAAGTTGTCTGATATTTACAGTTATGTAAGAGCTTTATTATCCAATCTGTCAAATATTATAGTTCCATAACTGAAATTTTTTTTTTTTTTGAATAGCTTCTTTATTTACTTTTAAACAAGCTATATAACATAAAGAGTTTTTCTTTTTTCTTTTCCAAAACATATATTGACTACCTTCATTACATTTCAGTTTCAAGGAGGTCAACGTTCTGACCGTTACCCTGAGTGCTGATCATCGCGTGGTGGATGGGGCTGTTGCTGCCAGGTGGCTGCAGCACTTCCGCGACTACGTGGAGGATCCGTCCAATATGGTATTGTAAACGGACTGGCACGACCCATCACCTTTAGAGACTCCAACGAAAAACAAATAAGGATAACCAAATTAGCAACCTCTCTTTAAGCGAGGAGTTTCGGTCGAAATGGATGTGTGGATTCTAATCGGTGTTACATTTGTAAAGTTTTAAATTGGATTTAACTCATACCATTTTATCACACATATATATATATATATAGAAATTTAATTGTGTAATATTTGATGTAGTTAATGCTGGTGAATGTTCGCCATCGTTGCCATGATTGTAGAAAGAACACAAAATACTTGAATGATATTCGAATTAACTCACTGAAACAGCTGTAAATTTCCGTTTGATATGCAAATCTTTTTGTATGCTTTGTTCGCATATGTTGATCATGATCGAGTATGAAAATGAAGGTAGTTAAAAGTCCAAAGACGCGTTGAATAAACCTAAAACACACTCACATGAACTAGCCAATTCATAAAATAAATTGGAGTTTTAATTTAATGTCGATGGGGGTTTTTTGTAGAGCCTTGCTCCCTTTGAAAATTAAGGAAGAGCATCAATTAAATATGGGATGATCTCCTCGTTGTAAAAAAGGTGAATGTTTGCGTTGCTTAAACTGGTCTGATTATTGCGGAGTTGAAATTTTGAATTGAAAAAGTTGGTACGATCAAGGTTTTAAAGATATTCAGTAGTGAAATCTTCTGTAAAAACAAAGAACGAACGTTGACTTAATACCGTCCATTGAAGCCAGAATGATTGCCATAGGTGCTATATAGATATAGATGCTATATCAACTTAAGGGATATTTATAAAATGATATAAAACCATCATATAATACAAAAAACATTATTAATATACATAATTCATTGAAACAACCAAATGTATCAATTTACATATAAAAAATTCAATCTTGGAGTCTTATATTGATGGCTTTACATAGCGCGAAAACATAACGGCCAGTATAGCAGACAGTCAACTGTACCATATGGTCAATAGGGTCGGAAATGTCTCCTTTATTGAGTTATGATTGAAATAATTAAAAAATTATTTGAAGAAACGAACTTGAATATATTTTATATCTTCCCACTAGTCCAACTTGAATCTTTGCTTCTTAAGTTACCACCCATAAATCAGTATCCGTATTAAATATGCATTTTCTCAGGGATTTAAAGTATTATGTTACTAGTTTATTGCCAAAATGTTACGAACTAAGCAAACACAAGTTGCAAGTATTTACAAGCATAAAGTTAAGCTAATGTCAGTAGGATGTGGTGGTTTCGTGGAGAGTTGGAATGGGGCAATCACCACTGGGCGGGGCCCAACTGGCTCCAATCGGCCACGTACTGGGCCTGCTTCTCCAAAGCGGGGAACCACTCAACGCCGCCGTAGTCGATGGCGGGCAGAGCGCCCTTGTAGTTGGCGGGCAGGATGGAGGGATCGAGGAACTTCTGCAGCGACTTCATGTCACTGCCGTGGAAGTGCATCTGTCGGAGAAAAGCAAAAGAAAATAAATTATTTAAATTAAAAATAAAATGAAAAATTTGAGTAGTTCATGCCTCTATAATTTTTTTGTTAAATTGTAATATGTCCTTTTTTTAAAGCAACCTATGATTGTACATTCATTACTTTTATCTCATTCTGTGGTATCGTCATATACTGAGAAATGCACATTCATTTTTATTTTTAAGGGAGTTTTCTTTAAATGCTTTTGCCTCTGCCTCAATGTAATTTTAATTTAATTTCTGAAATGATTTTTCTTGAAAGAAAATTCCTCATATTTTAACATTAATTATTTGTAGTTTTTTAAGAGTCATCGTTACTTTTAAATTAATTTAAGAGTCTACTTTGTTCTCGATTTAGTGGAGACAATATGTTGCCTAATTTTGAGGGCAGGAGGAAAATTTTTAATGAAAAATTTACTCACCCTCTTGTTCAGCTTCTCCTTGACGAATGGCTTAAATAGCGACCAGACCATGTTAAAGATGAACGGCTGCTTCACGAAATGCACCTCCTTCATGCGGAGGGGCATAGCTTCCTGGATGAATGTGAGCAATCGCTTGGAGAAGCTCGGCGACAGGGCCCTCACCTGCTTCATGGACAGTCCTTCGAAGTCCATGATGCAGACCACGCCCCTCACTTGGGTCTCCTCCTCCAATTGGGCGGCCAGATGGACCATATATAGCATTCTAAACATATCATCGCTGGTAATCTCGCTGGGATCCCAAAGCTTGCCACAGTTCACGATCAGGACTCGACGACCCTTCTGATCGCAATTTCTCAGCACATTGATCACACTGCCCTTCACGAATTTCTCCTTGACCTGTTCAACCAATAGTCCTCGGATCAGAGGGGCATAATCCTTTCGGAAGGCTGCTGTGGTTTTCATCTACAAATAAAGGACAATTATTAATGGTTGATAAATTGCAATGTATTATTAATGGTAGTTAAATAGAGTATAGTACAGTCTAAAATTTAAACTTAAGATCTCTAGTGTAATTAAAAAGAACGTTTAGCAACAAACAAAATGTTGTTAGTACCAAATAAAACTGACAATGTTTTGCTTTTAAAATAAAATTGTGTAATTGCCACGATAAATCTTTGCACCTGTGACGCATATTCCTTAAGGAAGTATTTCATCTGTTGGCAAGTGTGACATTGTTATATTAAAACCCATTGGTGATAAGTAAGTGACCGTTGACCAGAACTATAAAATGGCCATATAAGTTATGCGGCTTCCTATGATGATAAATACAAAATGGACGACATTCGATTTTTATGGCCTGATTCAGTCAAAATATAAGTGATTGTACATTCTACATTTATAAAGAGAATCCGATCTGATCGGAATCGGGTCCGCTTATCAGGGGCTTCTCTGCCTGGTCAGCGAGTTCAAAAGCAAAAAGTTATCAGCAGACTGTAAACGATCTTGTTGTTGGCTTTTATTTCAGATCGCATGTTTCTTAGTTTACAATATCCCATATATTATCTCACCCGGACTATAAATGAGGTGGCAATTTTCAGGCGAACGTTATTTGCAATAAATTTATAAATTATTACATACCATTATGTTAACATTATGAGGATATTTTAATGATAATAAATACTCTCATAAAATAGTGCTTAATTTTAATAACGAGTTGAAAAAAAATGAGTTTTTGTAAAATTTTAACATTATGAAGAATAGCTTAATGTAATAAATACTCTCATAAAATGTTAGCATTATGAAGGAAAATGATTATAAATACTCTCAAAAATTTTTGTAATAAAGTAATAACTGAAAACTTTGAATATCGATTAAATATGTCCTTTTTTATTAGCAAGTTAACCAAATATAGGATTTTGGTATTATTTTATATTTTTTATTTATATTTAAATACTCAATAATTTTATTGTTCCATTGAAACTCTCATATATGTGTGTTTTAATTTATTCGCTTATTACTTCTTGTGCACTTGCTTGAACTTAGGTTATAGACCCCGTTTGAATAGATTTGAAGTGGGGAATGTTTGCTGGCGATAATACTGTACGAGACGTTCTAAACATTTGATAATCTCTCAAACGTTGAACAAAATATCAAGTCACTTGTGTTGCCGGTGTTGATAAGCAAAAGCCATTGAATTTTGTTTCTAAGGCGGACGATTCAATTTGAGTTCGAGATGCTAAATAAACTGCAGTCATATGCAAAGCGAGGAAATTATTGTCGACTGCTGATAACAATGGAATAGTGATAAATTGATAGAAAGAATAGGCTTTAAGAAATTAAACAAATTGCTAATTATTAAGTGAGCATGAAATTATTATTTCCCTCTTGTTTTCTAACAAGATTCACATAATAATAAAATTGAATTGATTTATTGATAAACAAAAACTACCGTATAGATTTATAGCCCTAAGTTATAAAGCATTAATGATATTTTTGACACTTTATATTAGTTTTAAGGTGTTTAAAACGGATTTGAAGATATTAAAAATGCAGTTTTCTATTAAAGCTGGATCACAAAAAAGGATTCATGATTTTTAAAACATTTTGCTTGGAGTTTCTTAAACGTGTGTTATGCAATTTAATAAATTATTTTAGTAGCATGATTGCGTTTAAATAAAAATGTTATTAAATGAGGACTCAGGATCCATTACTCTTCGAAAATAAATAGTTCTCTTTTCAGATTTCCAGTCACTTTTCACTTTTATAAAATACTAATATCCCTATAATTGTTGTACTTTATCACGTTACACTGATTGCTTTAATGGTACGCACCTTTTCCAAGGCTCCCTCGGGATAAAAGTGGCAGACGCGAAGGAAGACTGTGAGGAAGGCGTCGTCGTCCTTGTAGTTCAACTCGGGCGTGGCCTTGAGCAGCTCCCGCAGCTTGATGATGGCCTCCGCCTTGACTTCGTCGGTTTCCCGCAGTTCCACCCGGGCGATTTCCACGGTCTCCGGCTTCATATAGCCCAGGCGCAAGTTAAAGGCCTCATTAGTGATATCGGTGGTGTCGGTTGCCATTTTCTATTTGTTGGGGCCTGCGTGTTGGATTTTGGAAAATGCGTTCTATGTTAGTCTAACTGATCACTGATTGCCAGACGAAAATTGCAGGTTAATTCGGGGTAAATTGGCAGCACCAGCACTTTTGAATCGATTTGTTTGGACAATCTAATCTTCCCCGATTATCCTGAGTATTAATGTTGTTTATTTACCTAAGGCGAAGTCTAATGATTTTCACTCTTTGAAAGTTTTTCAGCGTTATTTAGTTTTGCTTCCTCGCGACTCGTGCGATTCGAGTCAACTGAAATTCGGTTTGCCTTTGGAAACCCTTGTGAGTTAACTTCTATATTATATATCAGCCGAACGACAGCAACGACGTCGACGTCGGCGATAAAGTAGCGCTGCAGCAGAGGCGATCGCGGCCGTCTTGACTCAACTTCCATTTCCATTCCTATCCCTTATCTTTTAGACTAATGGCGATGAGCTTCAAAACAGAACAGAGCAAAAATAACAAAAAACACACCAAAATCAGAAAAAAAGGTCATCATTTCGGCTGTCAATCACCTTACGCCTTTAACCCTCGGGCATCTCCATTGAACCCCCGTCTAGGCCTGAAATCCGACTTTCAACTCAGTTCCGAGTTTTGGGTAGTTTCGACATTGATCGTGATGTTTACACGCGTCTGGAGTCTTGAACCTTACTTTAAATCACCTTTACCTCTAATTTACCTTTGCTACATCTCCACTTCGCTCGCAGCACGTAATAAAAAAGTCAAATTTGTCAAAAGAAATATAAATATCAATTAACAGCGAAAAAAAGGTTATACCAGCCTATTGACAGCGGAAACAGCGCACTGTTTATGAAGCCGCTCATAATACTCATAAAGCATCACGATTATGCCCATTACCACTTTCTGGTACCCTGTAATCACTTCACCCGCTAAAATAAAATATATATTACGTTAGAAATAGTACATAGTAGATTTTGATAAGAATGCTTTATTGGAAATTCAAGGTATTTTTCAAAATTATTTAAAGGTAACAAGCAGAGCTGATATTTAATTTATGTAACTTTTAAGTATATATATTTTAATTTAAAATAAATATCTTTACCCAACCATATCAACCCTAAAACTTTCAGTTTCGTACAGGGTATGTAAACTACTTTCGACTAAAGTCCACCATGAATTTCTTAAGTGATAACAGCTACCAAAAGTATTCTGCTTCTAGGGCTATTATCGAATGTTTCGTGTTTTACTGGATGGAGAGGTGCCAACAACAATCACCGAGGAATTCTAATCACAGCTCATAATCCTTATCAATGGCAGCGCCGCCAGCGTAGGCAGTCGTATTTTCTTTCGGTTCATTTCACTGAGAAATATTCTTTTTGTTTTCAGATCCAGAAATGGGTGGGTAGCAAGTGGGCGGTGGGGTTTCGGTTGGTCGATCTTCGTCTTTTCACACCTTCGGGGCATTGATTCGGATCGGGGATCGTGTATTGCGACCCGTTATCATTGTTACCCGCTTTTGTTGCTGCATTTCATATTGTTATTATTGGTACGTGTTCGGCTCTTTGTTTTGAAATTCATGTCTCAAACACAAAACCATTTTGTTGCTCCCTTGCTAATATCGACTTATACGTGTTCTTATACAAGTACAGTAGAATCTCGAATGAGTGAAACAATAAAACATATGAAATTTTGAGAGATTCTTAATAATGATGGCTTTAAGATAAGTATTAATCTAAAATAATATTGATTTAATAATGTCCTTTCTTAAAATAAGTGGCACCAAACAATATCTATTTTTATTATATTTATTATAGTTTTTAAATCCACAGTTCTACTAATAAGCTAAAATTATTATGTTTTTTAAAATATTCCCTAAGTTGAATAAATAATTTTAATGAAATATTATATTAAATATTATTTTTTACTTTAACATTTAACACTGTATTTGCAAGTAAGAATTACTGCTTTATACTACTGCCTTGTAGTGTAGTCATAGGGCAAAGTCTGCATTCTTGATACGATTTGTTGTCGAAGCTTTAACGTAGTCGTCAACCCGTACTTTTTTTGCTGTTCTTTGTTTTCGATTTTGCTCAAGTATTCGACTTTTTGTTGTTATTGATTTTACGTTTTTGTTACTGAGTTGACCAGCTTATTAATTGATTTTTTTCTTGCTATTATTGATAAAGCTATTGGTGCTGCATCAGCTGGTTTATCGAGCTTCTGTTTTGCTATTGTTGATGAGCATTTAAATGCGTTCAAAATATTCTGTCGCTTGTTATGAGTGTGAAAGGTTCGAGTTGCAATTTATTTCAACACAAAAAAATAAACAAACGATTCGATCAACAAACTTATCTCAAGCCCCACAGCTGTTAAGCAATTGCTTGAAACAATTTTTAAAAAGTGATTTAAGATATATTGAAACATTGTTAAGTATGAATAGGCAATTTCAAAATAGTTTACGATTACGCAAAATAAGTAAAATTATGAATTATGATTTATAATATATTTTTAAGGTACATTGACTTTTCCTTAAACTTTATAAAAATAAATTTCCATTCCAATTTTCATAAATCTCTTTTTATTGAACTACAATCTTGCCATTGAAATGGTAATAATAAATAAAAGTTTTAGTTCCGATTGAAAAAATCAGAGATTTATTGCCTATAAACCAAACTCTACAAATTGTAGTAGGTTTTCAAATCGAATAGCATGATCAGAAGTCATGACTTTATTCTTTAAGAATTATTGCTGAGCTAACATCTATATCGTAAATATATATGTATATAGTATTATGTTCGCTTATCGCAAGATTTGAATACATGAGTAAAAGACATTAATCGGCTTATGCCAATGCCAATAGGCTAAAAATATTTATATATAGGCCCCTCTTAACTAATCGCAAGATAAGTTACGTATACATCATGTTTATATTCCACTACTTTTGTTGATAGGATGAAATCCCCAGCGGAGAGAAATTTTTTTTGTTGGTATTTTCCACACTGGTACCAATAGAAAGATGATCTGACCATTATAATAAGCTGCTATTATTGATAAAATGTTCTAACTCAGCCATTATAATTTTATTTGAACTTTACACATCTAGAGAAAATCAGGTAGTTTAACAGGTGAGTAACTGTAACAAGATATTTTTATTTATTGGAGAAACACCTGCACAAAGTACATTTACACTACATTAAGGCAGGCTTGCACCTTGTTGGCGCCCAAAACCTGATTTTTTTCTGGAATTTATTTCTTGGAAAGTATAGTAGGTGTGGGAATAAAATTTTAGCCAGTTGTAGGGTACAGTTTATTGAAGCTACACAATTTTTTTGAGTGCGATCCAAGCGAAGGGGGGAGGGGGAGTACCCAACAATGGCGGCATGTCCGCGAAAAACTCGTCCTCATGGCGGATTTTTTGGAATTTTAAGAAATAATCTGAAACGCAAAAAACGAATATATTCTTAATCTGTACACTTGATCGCATGGCTTGAACTAGGATAATTGAAAAAACATAAAAAATGCAAAAATTATGAGCTTTTGAAAAAAAAATCGGTTTTTTCCTCATTTTTTCGTTACTCATTATTTTTTTAAATAAACAATTTTTAATATTTTCAAAAGATCCTAGTCTATACCATGCACATACTTCTGAGGAACATGTATAAAAAATTTCATGACGATTGCTCAATTTTTGCGGCTTGTACGACTTCCGCCAACTCGAAAAACATGGTTTCGAGAAAAACGCGTTTGAAAATTTTCACTATAATGGCAACGCGCTTGACACCGGTCCACCAAACGGCCGATAACTTTCGTAATTCAAGAGATTTCGACTTTTCGATTTTAGGAGAGTAAAATTGAAACATGTATGTATCCGAAACTGCAAAAAAAAAAATTGATTTTTTTGACTTCACAAGGTGCAAGCCTGCCTTAATAGCACACGATTGATCGATGCCTTACCAAAATCCAATACCCCTTCAACGAAGTTTACCCGATCAACCATATGTCGAACTGATTTCTAAGTTCGACTTTGCTCCTCCAGTAATCGCTGACGTCGGAAGTGCTCAGGGCGACAATGTGCAGCAAGAGCTAACAAATGTGTGTCATCTGTGAGGAAATATTGACTTCTAGTAAATACTTACTAGGGAAAACCATGGATGAATAATCTGTTTTTGGAACTGGTAGAAAATACTTTATTTCCGAGTTTCTGCGATTCACAAACTCTCGAAAATATTTTGTTGGACTATAGACAAAGTATAAAAAACTATCATAGGTGAATGAGTATACTTTTATAGCTGTCCGGTGAGGTCAGTTACAGTCCAAGTCTATTCTTTTAAGGTATATAATTTGAGGTAATTGACAGTAAGTTTTAATGGGACTAAAAGGTTTACGGTTATTTAAATAATTCCCGGAGTATAGTTTTTGAATATTTAAATTTGTTAAGACCCGAGGTAAAATCAATCATAAAGTTTCTTAAGTTTTTTAAATCTTTAATTTTAAATTAAAAAAACACAAAGCTTACAAATTCCCAATATTAAATTTCAAAATAGAAGCTAAATTGATGTTGAATGCATGCATTTTTTTTTAAATGTATAAGTATTACAAGTTTGATTAAAGTGTATATTCATACATATTTTAAAAATATATTAATATTTTCCTCTTATCTAATAAATAAAAATTAATGCAATATTCGACATTTGAATACATTGCGTATACGTAATTTACGCTACGTATGCGTAATAATGAAGCAACAGTTGAAGAATAATCTTTTTAAATTTCTTTAAATAAATGATTCTTTCATTGCTAGCCCTATTATATAATAACATTAAGTAATTAATCAACATGCTATTTGGCTATCAATACGTTGTCATTATCTTTATGGGAGCCAAAGTTATTTTTCCCACATACTGCTATAATTTAGATAACTCAACTGGCGAAAAATGTTTAATTTACCAGCCCCAAGACCAAGCAAATGATAACGAAAACGGCGTTTGGGTAAAAAGAAAACTGCAGCCATGGCCAAATGAAACAAAAGAATTGGCCAAGAACAAATGCGATGAACTTCACCTGGTGGCCTTCATTTTGGCCAAAGAAAGTTGAGCATTTCAGTTTCAAGTGCTGCAATCAGCAAAATGTGAAGCACGAAATAAAAAGTGAAAATGTAATTGGAATTATTGAAGCGTGGTTAAAGTTCGCCCCCCAGGGGTTCTGCCTTGGCTAATTGATAGATTAACACGATCTGAAATTAGCTGATATAAACAAGTTTATTGTTTTTCTACCACAACAAAAAAAAAAAAAAAGGAGCTTTTAAAAGTTTGCTTAGTGGTTCAGTTCCTTGGTTTTAAAGTTACGTTTTAGATAATAGCACAGTGCTTTGAAATGTCGAAATTTATTTATTACTTTTTACAAGAGTTTATACACATGATTTTTGTTATATTTTTTACATTTATATATGTACATTGTCCATGTGTATATTGGTTTTATACTCATTATAATTAATAGGTATGAATTAGTACAACAATTGCAAAAAAAATGTATTGTTTGAATCCAACAAAAAATTTCTATAATATTTTTTAAAAAATTGTGCAGTCTTGGAAATTGAAAATCCGGACAACTAAATAATTGTTGCCTGTTTTTTTTTAAGTCTGCTGTTTCTTTACTTCTTCTAGTAAATATTTCATTTAAAAATATTAAAAATTCCATGTCTCTCCAGAAAAATGATATTTGATATATTTAATTATATATTAAATATAATATATTTCGTATATATAGCCAAACTAATAACACTCAAATATATTGGAGTAAAAAAACAAATAAAATAAATTGAGATGTAGTTTTGTATTTGAATGAAAATAATTCGTAATGAACGGGGCCAACATATTGGAGCAAAAGCTTAAAGCTTTTCATAGTGCTGGATAAGGCCTTCAGAGAGAGCGTCAAGCTTCGCTTGAGTTGGCCAGTTAATTAATAACAAGAGCTCGAGAGCGATTTTCCAACTCAGAGTTATTTTGGCCGCGTTGCTATTTGGACGTCGCCGCCGCATTTCTCGCTTACCTTCCGATTCGTGGATTCGCACCTGCATTTTCGCGTCCTGCCTGAAAACAAAAAATAATTGTAAACACCCCCTTACCAACTCCACCTCCTCTTCCGCTGCCAAATTTGGACAATTGCAAAAGTTTGTCTACAGTGAAACGTGAAATCTCTTATTTTACCTGGGCAAAAAATAAAAACAAAACAAATCAAATATCTCTGTGCTGTTCGAGGCGTATAATTTTGTGTGTATTTTTGCGGTAAGTTGCGTTAACATTATGCTTCATAGAAAGCACTTTTTGGGCATTGTATTTGTAGATTTTATTTCATTTTTGCCTTTGGGCAATGCGCATGCGCAGCTACGTTGACACACTTTCTGCCTCCACCTGGTTGGCTTACCTACTTGCCACAAGCAACGTACGGCTCTCTTGCTTTTGGCCATAAAAACAATTACCACTTGCTGACGTTGTTGCCTGCATTTCGTCAGCGCGTGCGCTTCGATTCCACAAAAAAAACCCCTCCCCTTAAATATACCCACGGTATTACCATTCATAATATAGCAGCTCACTACTTTGGCACTCTGATCTTCGGTAGCTGATAATAAGGCAGATGAGCGGGCGGGCTGGGATATTACACCAGTTGAGTGTGTGAAAATGTGCGGTGTTAAGTTATCTAAGAGGTGTTACTCTGTGGCAAGTGAAGTAGTTTTGAATGAGGTAAAATAATGGAACAAAATTGTTACTTTGTCGTTTCGGGCTGAGCATTTTGTTATTGCTGAAATAGTGCGACGGAGTTTTAGTGTTGCAATTTAAATGTGCAAAGTTGTAGTAAAGGTACGAGTTAATGAACCATTTTATATAATTTGGTATGGTTTAGAATTTAAAGTGATGCTAAGATTAAATGGCAAAAGAGAGAAAATTGTTAAAAAATGTTTAATAAAACGTTTTTTACAACATTATTTTTAAACAGAAACCTTTATTTTGAACTTTTTAGATTAGAAATTTTGGAAAGGTAAAAATAATTTTTTAAAATACGTATAAATAAAATTAAATGCAGCGCTTTTAGAATAAAGCCTAGATGATTTTAGAGGAAGGAAAATGTTTAAAATATTTTAATTTGAATATCAAGTATTAAAGCTTGAATGGTGAGCCATTTGATAAATAATTAAAGTTCAAATGAATGCTTAGCAGCATTCCCTTTATCGTGGTTCTACTGTCACCTTCATAATGCATGCAAATGTAACACAATTGAAATGCAAATTGACGCATCGTGCTGCTGTTTCACTCGCACTCAATATTTCTGGCTATCTTCTGTCCCGCTCCGTCTGGCTTTAATTTCTGTTGATTCGCGGGATCGATGGTCGCGCTTCATAAATATTTTAGACGCCAATCAGCCGATTCACTGGGCAATGAAGGCATTTGCTCTAATGACACAAAAACATTGGTTGACTTATTTTAATGATTTACCCCAATTTACATATTGATTATGTGTGCTATTGGCCCAACTTATTTTGGTATATTTACCCATTACAAACACTATATAATTCTATATTCACAAGCAAACGACCTTGTTGTTATCCGCTAACATCTCAGTACGAAGAGTTACCAAAAAACTAAGTGAACTCAAAACCAGTTAAACGTCTTTCGGTCGATCGTGTGTGTGGGCATTTACTCAAATTGTTAACATTTTGTCAAGTGAAGGATACCAGAAACTTGCGAAAATATACAAAGAGTCGCTATTGAATCTGGAAATTTACATATTTCTGAATACAGAAGTCGGCTTCGTACTTGGAACTGAAGGCGAATTTTTATAGCCGCCGCTCGTACGATCGAGTCTGTTGATTTTAGCATTGTGAAAGAAATCGAAACCGGCTATTCCTGCTCCTCGAGAATGATACGAGTTGAGTATTTTATTTATCATTTGACGAGCCGGTTCAGTGGGTGAGCCAAGAAATTCAGTTGCCAAATCGCAATGTTATAGGCGCTAAGTTTCAAGACAAAGTCCGTTAGCAATGCCATATGAATTTGTTTATAGTTGCCATAGATCAAGTTGTCCCAAAAAAGAGATGTGGAAATAGTTAGTAAGATCTTTAAAAGTTTACTTAGTAAACATACAATGACAGCAATTATAAGTTTAAATCAAATTAATAGCCTAGAAAAAAATGTATAAATAAATTTTACATATGCATTTAAACTTATAAAATTAAAGGTTGTATAAAGTTCAAAAGTCATAGTCTACCCTAAACTGGTAATTCTGGATTTTTCCTCTCCTGCAGCTCAATTAAGAGCAATTTCCATTTCGTGTTTTGATCACTTTCATTGATTGGCTAATTGCTATAAAATCGCACATGTTTAAATCTTTACAATAAAAATTAAGTCGCCCACTTTGTGAAAATGATTGATATGCAAGGCACGAGATATGCATTAGACTTTATATCAAAGCTGACATTGTACTATATTATACAGTATATAAACTGGATTGACCCATTTAGAAGTCAGGGGCACAACTAGACTGATATTGAAGTAGGTTGCAATCAATTTATTAGCTGATCGTTTAGTTTATAGCTTTAGTGATTCAGTTTTAATAAACTCTTTATTAAAGTAAAGAGTTTGATTGATTAATCTTGTAGTCAGACTGGCGTACATAAATTCCACTTTGTTGGAGCATAGTTATTTTTGTAGATGCAATTTGACTTTATCTTGTACCGTTTTTCACTAATTAAATCCAGATAAAAATGTATACTATAGTTGCTTTATCAAAACACCATTTAAATGTAAGGAAAACGATTAATATTGGCCGCAAAATCTGTCATGAAACAATAGCTCTACAAGTTATCTTAATTTCCAAGAGTATTAAAGCTTCGGACTTTTTCTTCTTTTTATTTTGGTTTTAGCTCAACAATTGCTTCGTCATCTGTGTCGGCAAGACAATCGCTGCAAATAGTAAAATTGTATAAAGGAAAAAACTGTAATTTGCATTTAATAGCCAGCTAGTTGATGGTATTGATCATTTTTCATATGACTTGTTTATTTATGCATATCATGTTGGCTCTTAGAATTGAGTGCATTTTTTTATAAATCCACATTGTTTTGACTTTTTTTCAATTAACTGCCGGGCAGTTAAGTTAGAATTGATAAGTGAGCAGTTTATTTTCGGGATTATTTCTGTTGTGTGCTAATCTCTAAACAATAATCGCTTGTTTATATGGGTGGACATAACGCGATTAGACTTTCAAACTGAATTTGAATTTTCCTTTGTTTTCGCTCCTTTTGTTTGGCGATACCAGCTATCAGCTTATTTAACCGACCGACTACTGGGATTATTCACTTTGTTTCTTGGGGCAGCCATTTCCGCTTGCAAGTGACAGTATCTAAAACGCCTCTGTTCAATTCGGTTGGGGCTTGTGAAAGGCCACAAAAGTTCAGCAAAATAAAGGGAAATAATCCCCAGTGGAATACAATTATTGAGGCAGGTGAAGTTGGGGCACATAATGCTATATATTTTAAAGTTATATCTCGGTATACAAAGGTAATTATTTGCTTGCGTCATACTTTGATCAACTGGTGGAAATTTTTCCCCATGGAAACATCAGATTCTGCCAAAAGCACGTCCGGGAGGTTGGATTCGTACTACCTCATTGAGGGTCATAAAAAATAAACAGGGTTCACAATCAAGCTTGTTACGAACGGGTACAGTAGTTGTAAAGTGTATGATTTTCCTGACTTTAATTAAAACTGGAGATTACAAAATTCCTATTTATAAAAGTCCAACTACTTTTTGTACTACACACAGAGTGTAATACATTATAAATACATTTCAAATCAAAATGCATTTAAAGGTAACCATTGCTTACTTTGTATTCTATTGTTGGGTGATCATTTTTCTAAAAACAGTGTTTTACTCGTTAATTGCCAATTACAAAATAGCTGAATAAATAGTGAAAATATTAATTAACATTAATTTCCTAAATTACAAATATTCATATCTGTTGAAAGGAAATCTTTCGTAAACTGTGCAAAAAATAGTTATCATAAGAAATACACTTTCAAATTAAGAATACCGCTTAAATAAAAAAAGAAATTTTTCATAAAAAATGTATTCTTTAAGTGCTTTACTTAATGTAAGTATATCTGGTAAAACAAGTTTAAAGTAAAATCATTTTTAAATTTTTTCCATAAGGATCATTTTCAAGGACGATTCCAATCCCTTCTACATAATCGTAAAAATTAACCAAGGTCCCTTTTTCAAACCAGTTTTAAAAGTTCAAGTTTTTTTAAAAGGAAAAATACTTCAATTAACTTCTTTACTCCCTCTTCAACCTATATAAACATTTTAAGAAAGATGAAAACCGGATTCGATAAACGCTGAATCACTATGAGTCCGCTTCATTCTTGCACCATGAGTCCCAACCTATGTGACTACATTTAAATTCAAAGTTCCCTAAATGAAAAAAGGAAAAACACAATATTATTAAGTCGTTGATCAAAGAGCAGTTCCTGGTAATTAGCACTTATTCGATATTTGCTGGACGAGGTGACAAACGATAAACAGAATTTTGCTTTCCTACTAAACTTATTATTTAGTTTGACTGTTATAAACAAATTAACTTGAATAGAGTAAAAACTTAAGTAAATTGCACAAGTTTATGAGTTTTTTTTGATGCGATATAACACGATCTTAACCCTTTTTTTTGAGCAATTACTTGATATTTTGCATGCGGTTAATTGGCAATTACATTGCACACGAAACCTGTGTCATGGAAATGTCTCAAAATTGAGATTACTCTTAGTTGTCTTATTTTATTTTTTTCGCATGTCACACCCAAATTTTCTGTCACTCATTTTTCGGATTTAATTGGATTTTACAACACACGTAGACAGAAGATTGACCAACAAATTAGTATGCGCATTACTTTATGGGCTGTTGAACTCCACGCCGAAGACCAAGTCAAACACAAAGGCCCAGTGTAAATAAAGGCATAAATTACTTAAGATTCATTGACGAAATTTCTGGAAGCCAACGAAAATCATAAAGCCAAGCCACATTGCCAGAACGACCAAGTTTTTCGAGTTTTTTTTACTGACTTCAATCGAATGTGTCCAACAATCTCTGCTCTTGGCCTTGACTTTTACCTTCAATCGCGTTGACCGCACAAAAAAGTCAATATCAAAAAACTTACTAATTGCTTTGAATCATAAGAGCAGCAGTAAATCAGATTTAATGGCCACCACCGATTTGCACTACTCTGCGGCTGACTAGACCGGGTTCTTTAACTTCTCGCCTTCGAGTTCGACTTTTTTGTGCCATTGTCAAGTCCTTCATGACAGGGCATAGATCACCGCCGGCTCACAAGTGCTACGTCATCGAGCCGATTTTTTTTCGATTTTGTTTTGCTAGCCAAGGTGTTGCCAAGTCGTCTGCGAGGCAAACAGTCGGGCCACGTATTTTATCGACAAAAAAACATAAAATATTAATAGAGAGGAAGAGTGTCGTTTCATACTCTAAAGATCGTAGACCCCGAAAAATTAAAAACTGGTATTATATCTGGTATCTAACAGTAAATATGACAAATAAATTTGTGTAAAACTATTGTTTAATCTCTTTCAAAAATTTTAAATTTTTAAAAGTAAAAAAATATCAGAATTATGTTATGTTATATTATACAAATTAAAGCTTACCATTTTTTTTATTTAATAGTTATTAATAAAATGTTTTTTAGCCATTTAATTTGCAATAAACTTGAAAAGGAACGATAATTTAATTCCGTTAAGGTATAGCCGACTTTGATAAATGATCCAAGAAGTGCAGCAAACGCCCTGACCGAATTTCTATAACCTTTGCGGTGAGGGTATCCACCGATTTTAGCCATCGTACGCACGTTTTGCGACCAGTTTTGGGCACTATTGTCTATCGGGCTATCTATTTCTGTATCTATATTTACCTGTCTGTCCGGCGGCCTCTTCTTCCGTTGTGGCGATTTTTCGGCTACTTTTGCTAATGAAGATCAGCATTGAGTCATACATAAACATGCGAGTGTATATATTTAACAGTTTCCATTGGAGCGAGGCATTGAACTGTTGTCGCTTTTGCTTTAGCTTTTGGCTTTTGGTTTTGGCCAAGCTGCGGAAGTAACCCAGTTGTGCCAATCGATTTGAGGAAACGGTTGCCAAACCACTCAAAATGTTTGAGCCGAGACCAAAACAATATCATTCTCGTTTGCAGCCTGAACCGGTGAACAACTAGCGGCAGATCACATCACATCAACAGAATGGGCAAGGCGGAGTGCATTAGCTACGATGAGCAGCAGTTGCCCTATATCGATCTGGGTTCGGCACAGATCCGTATGGAGAAGGATGCAGCACCGGTGTGGGCCTTAAAAAAGGCGCAGGACGAGCTGAGGGAAGTGGACGGTGTCAAGGAGCAGGCCATCAAGGACCTCAGGGCACTCATTCAAAGTGAGTAAAGCAATTAGAGAGATATATAACATTTTTTTAACGAGTTCCCACTTTCCCTAGATGAAAAGTACTTGAACCTTCCTCTGGATGATGAGTACATGATGATGTTCCTGCGTCCCACCCATTATTATCCAGAAAGTGCCTTGAAAAGAGTGAGTGCTTTTTATGAAAAGTAAATTGAAATAATATTTTTGTAAGACCTTTAGTTGTATTATAATATTAAAAAGATTTGTGAAACGCTACGAACCAATTCGTTAATATTCTTAAAATTATAGTTTCAATAAGATTAATAACCAATTAAAAGTTTTTTTTGTTTGTCTTTAAAAATAAATTTTCTGGCTCTAGTTAAAAATTTGTTTGTATAAATGAATATAACAAATATGATGAAAATACTTACCAACTAAAAAAATTTTAAATAATAATAACCAACCTTCAAATAATATTTTAAGTAAAGTATTTTAAAACTTTATCAGAGTAGGGAAAACAAGTGAAAATGATTTCAAATAATTAGATATGTTGAAAATGTTTTTTAAATTGTAAATTATTTTTTGGTTTTTCTTTTTATTTACAGCTCAAGAACTTTTACCACATGAAACTGAAGTACGGAATCGCTTGTGAGAACATAATTCCCAGCAAGTTGCGAAATGTTTTCGAGGCCAATATTCTGAATTTGCTGCCCCAAAGAGATCAGCATGGTCGTCGTCTTTTAGTGTTGGAAGCAGGCAGTAAGTATTGATAAATAAAACTATTTAAAAGATATCTAAATGGAAGTTGTATAACTAGAAAAATGGAAGCCATCTCAAGTGCCTTTGGTGGATTTGTTCCGTGGCATTCAATTGACCGTCTTGGGATCCATGGTGGAGCCCTATTCACAAATTTGCGGAGCAGTTGTTATTATCGATATGGAGGGTAAGAAAAGTGCAAACATTAAATGGCATTTGTATATTTTTATTAACCTGTTTTAACCTTTTTGCAGGTCTGCCACTTAGCCACATTACCCAATTTACACCGTCGTTTGCCGCCATGTTGCTGGATTATATTCAAGAATGCATCTGCATGCGTTTAAAGGCAGTTCACATAGTGAATAATTCATATATATTCAACATGCTTTTTGCGATATTCAAGCCATTCATTCGCGAGAAGTTGCGCAAGAGGGTGAGTTACAGAAATAAGGAAGTTAGAAATTATATTTTATAATAAATCCTAATTTTCCAGATCTTCTTCCATGGCAAGGACTACAAGTCCCTGATCTCCCACATCGAGGCTAGCGCCTTGCCTCCAAAATACGGTGGCTCTGCCACTTGGGAACTGCCGCCTGGTAAACTATTGGGAGAATTCTTTGAGTGCTACGCCAAGGATTATGAACGTAAGACACTTAAATATAATAATATTCAAACCAACTTTATCAGCTAATTTATTTAAATTGTTTTCTAGTGGCTGACAGCTATGGGTATACAGAGGGCTATAAAATGAAGAAGTAAAAGTACAAGAAGAACAGAAAAATACACACAATCCTCAATTAACCGTTTTGATTCGTATTTTAGTCACTTAAGTTGGGTCATTTGTGATATTGCAAATATTGTCGTACGTTAAGTCTTAGTCTCTTTGCCCTTAAAAATTAAGGTTCAAAAAAAGTGTTTTCATAATATGAATTAATATGAATTTCATATTAATTGGCAAGCTCATGATTAAAGCAAAGATTTTGCTCAGCATTAAACTTGATACCATGTGTACTATATATTTTGTAAAATTGTTATTGAAATAATAAAGATGAAAACATTTGTTAAAAAATGATGATATATTTTTGCATTTTTATACCCTTGCAGAGGGTATTATAATTTTGGTCAAAAGTGTGCAACGCAGTGAAGGAGACATCTCCGACATTATAAAGTATATATATTCTTGATCAGGATCACCTCCTGAGTTGATATAGCCAAGATATAGCCATGTCCGTCTGTCCGTCTGTCTGTTTCTACTCAAACTAGTCTCTCAGTTTTAAAGCTATCGAATTGAAACTTTGCACACACCCTTCTTTCCATTGTACGCAGTATATATGTGGAAACGGCCGGGATCGGCCGACTATATCCTATAGCTGCCATATAACTGATTGATCGGAAATGCCATAACTTTCGTGTTTGTAAAGTTAGGAAGTTTGGATTTTCTATGGGTTTTATATTTGGCCAATCAATCCGACCTACCAAATTTCATGAGAATCGGCCGACTATATCTTATAGCTGCCATATAACTGAACGATCGGAAATGCCATAACTTTGGTGTTTGTTAAGTTAGGAAGTTGGGATTTTCTATGGGTTTTATTTTTAGCCAATCAATCCGACCTATCAAATTTCATAAGGATCGGCCGACTATATCCTATAGCTGCCAAATAACTGAACGATTGGAAATGCCATAACATTGGTGTTTTTAAAGTTAGGAAGTTGGGATTTTTGATGATTATTAAGAATGCATCATATGAATAATTTTGGAGAATATAATTTACAGAGTATTCTGCAAGGGTATATCAACTTCGGCTCCGCCCGAAGTTAGCTTTCCTTTCTTGTTATACCCTTGCAGAGGGTATTATAATTTTGGTCAAAAGTGTGCAACGCAGTGAAGGAGACATCTCCGACCCTATAAAGTATATATATTCTTGATCAGGATCACCTCCTGAGTTGATATAGCCATGTCCGTCTGTCCGTCTGTCCGTCTGTCCGTCTGTCCGTCTGTCTGTCCGTCTGTCCGTCTGTCCGTCTGTCTGTTTCTACGCAAACTAGTCTCTCAGTTTTAAAGCTATCGGATTGAAACTTTGCACACACCCTTCTTTCCTTTGCACGCAGTATATAAGTAGGAACGGCCGGGATCGGCCGACTATATCCTACAGCTGCCATATAACTGATTGATCGGAAATGCCATAACTTTCGTGTTTGTAAAGTTAGGAAGTTGGGATTTTCTATGGGTTTTATATTTGGCCAATCAATCCGACCTACCAAATTTCATAAGGATCGGCCGACTATATCCTATAGCTGCCATATAACTGATTGATCGGAAATGCCATAACTTTGGTGTTTGTAAAGTTAGAAAGTTGGGATTTTCTATGGGTTTTATATTTGGCCAATCAATCCGACCTATCAAATTTCATAAGGATCGGCCGACTATATCCTATAGCTGCCATATAACTGATTGATCGGAAATGCCATAACTTTGGTGTTTGTAAAGTTAGAAAGTTGGGATTTTCTATGGGTTTTATATTTGGCCAATCAATCCGACCCACCAAATTTCATAAGGATCGGCCGACTATATCCTATAGCTGCCATATAACTGATTGATCGGAAATGCCATAACTTTGGTGTTTGTAAAGTTAGAAAGTTGGGATTTTCTATGGGTTTTATATTTGGCCAATCAATCCGAGCTACCAAATTTCATAAGGATCGGCCGACTATATCCTATAGCTGCCATATAACTGATTGATCGGAAATGCCATAACTTTGTTGTTGTTAAAGTTAGGAAGTTCGGATTTTTTATGAGTATTAAGAATGCATCATATGAATAATTTTGGAGAATATAATTTACAGAGTATTCTGCAAGGGTATATCAACTTCGGCTCCGCCCGAAGTTAGCTTTCCTTTCTTGTTTTTGTTTTATTTTAATGAGGGCTTGACAATATTGCCATTGTTTGCGCTGCAGAAGACGAACTGGACCCCAGAAAAACCGCAACACAAGCTCCCAAAAAGATTTAAAATCGATTCATGTCTCTTTGTCTGATTGCGGTATAAGCGAACGAAAAATCTCATCGGAATGAAATTAGAAAATCAGAAAAAAAAGGTGCGAAATGTTTAAATAGTTTAAGTTATAAATACAATATAAGTTTTTTTTGATGTTTAATTAGGTAAAATGGTGAAAGAAAACGACGAATAAAATACATTAAAACATAACATAAGCCAAGCTAACAAAAAATAAAAAGGAAAACACTTTTTAAAGCCTAGCAAAAAAATATATATTTTATGCAATCCCAATGTTTTATAAAGGGTTTTCCCTTTTTCAGAAAGATTTTAATAAAGGCCTAAATGAAATTTTTCTAAGTGAAGGGAAAATACTTTATAAAATTATTTTTTATACAATCCCAATGCTTTCTTTTCGGCCGTTAGAATTATGAGACAAAGTTGGATTTTGATTGCTGTGCTTTTTATTTGAAGGTTTTCGTTTTAGTTTATTAAGTAGTCGCCTATGCACACTCTACTGGTGCGCATTGCATATTGATTAATATTATTTTTTTAAGAACAATGTATTTACCTTTTACCGAATGCTGTTACTACCCCCATCTTAACATGTTCTAAGCCTTAGGCCAATATTGATTCCTGAGGAAGAACTTAATATAATTGTATATCTAGTCTTGAGCTCCTCTCCAAGCGGAAGTAGTTCGAAGTGCCGTATGACCTTAAAAATCAGCGTTTTCATGTGGAGACTGGCAAACTTCTGACCCATGCAGGTCTTTGGTCCTGCACTAAATGGAATATATGCAAATTTGGGAAGCGAAGCTTTTTCTCCATCCATCCATCGTTCGGGCTTGAAAGTCAGGGGATCTGGAAAGTATTCTGGATCTCGGAGGACATTGTACAGCACCAGCATAATGTTCGTATTGCCTGGAATGGTTTGCTCCCCAATCTGCCAGTCCTTGGGGATGTATCTTCCGATTAGAGCAACTGGTGGGTGTAGACGCACCGTCTCCTTTATCACACAGTCCAGATATTTTAGATCCAGCAGTTGGGATTGGGTCACTGGAGAATCGGGATCTTCGCCCAACACACCCAATATCTCCTCGTAGATGCGCTCCTGCACTTCAGGATGCCTCGAAAGGACATAAAGAGCATGGGATACCCCACTTGTTGTGGTGTCATCACCCGCAAATATAAACCCATCCACCTCCTCACGGATGTCCTCATCGCTTAGGGGATGATTATTGATAGAGGCTTGCAGCAGAATATCCAGCAAAGTCAATTTAGATTTTTGACCAATTTCAGCATCTCCCAGATCTACGAGGTAAAAATATAAAATGAGAAGTTACTTGATGAGTCAATTTACCCACTTATTGGTCGGTAGCTTCCGTTGGCCTTTTCACGCACCAGAATTTCTCGGCGTTCGCGAATTACCTTGTCGGAAAACTCTTGCATGGTGCGAATATCTTTTTTTAGACGGAGGTAAACCAAAGGAGCTACCAGCGGAAAAAGCCAGTCATAGCGCCGCAAATTTGATATGCGTTGGCTCTCGATATAGATTACACTGAAAAAGGTATAGTGGCAATAGAAAATGTTTTTCAATAAAATGTATTCCTTTTGGTAAAAAAAAAGCCCACCTTCTGAGAGCCTTAGTATAGGGAAAATTCGGCACGTTTTGGGCATTCACCTGAACACCCATGGCGGCCTCTGATAATAAATGGAAATATCATTATTGGTAAAATCTTATAATTTATTATTTATTTATTATATAAAAAAGGAAAAGTTTCTGGAAAATAATTATAGTTAAACGTACCTGTAATCACATCAAGGGATTCCAGACAAACATACTTAAAAATGTCCACGCATGTTTTACCATCAGCTACTTTTCTCAGTTTTTCCACCATCACTCCACTGTTTTTGTCCATTATCTCCACGAAGTGGTCGAGGCATTTAAAGTGAAAGGCTGGAGCCATTAGCTTTCTCCGAGCACTCCATTTAATACCCGAGCTCATAAGAATTCCATCGGACAGAAAATGACGGAGAATTTGGTAAACCTGTGCCTTTTCCAACTGGGTGGAGCTGTTAAGAATGCACTCGAAAAGCTTGAGATCCGTGGTGAAGACAACGCATTCTCCTACGAACCAGAAGACAAAGCTTTTGCCGAATCGCTTAAAATAGTCACCGACAGTTTGAAAAAAATCTGAATACGAAATGTTGGATGGAAAAAAGCATTGAGGTAAGCCATCTAATAATTTTTGTATAAAATTTAAAATCCTACTTAATGTGAGCTGTAAGTTATATTTATTTAACAAAAAAATAAGCAAATTTTGGCCATGTTATTTATTTTTATACCCTTGCAGAGGGTATTATAATTTTGGTCAAAAGTTCGTAACGCAGTGAAGAAAACGTTTCCGACCCCATAAAGTATATATCTTCATCAGGATCAATAGGGGAGTCGATATAGCCATGTCCGTCTGTCCGTCTGTTTCAATACCGTTTGCGAGCTCAGTTTACAAGGTAGCGATCTGAAATTTTCACATTCGTCCTAAAACATGTGTACGCAGATCAAGTTTAAAAAGCGATCGGACGTATATATCCTAAAGCTCAACAATCGTATATACCTTGCAAGAATTGATATTTCGCGCAGTATAAAAGCTATTGACATGCATCTTTCCAAATCTTATTATACCCTTGCAGAAGGTATTATAATTTTGGTCAAAAGTGTGCAACGCAGTGAAGGAGACATATCCGACCATATAAAGTATATATGTTCTTGATCAGGATCACCTCCTGAGTTGATATAGCCAAGATATAGCCATGTCCGTCTGTCCGTCTGTCTGTCCGTCTGTCTGTCTCTACGCGAACTAATCTCTCAGTTTTAAAGATATCGAATTGAAACTTTGCACACACCCTCCGCTCGAAGTTAGCTTTCCTTTCTTGTTTTTGTATACATACCTTGATCAGAATAAATCCTATAACTTCCATAGGAATAATAGGGTGAAATCGGTCCAAATTTGATGTTTTACAGGATATTTCGCGCAGTGTATAAGCTATTGACATAGATTTTTGGAAGTCTTATTTATTTGCACATACCTTGATCAGGGCTGCTCTTGCCGATTGTTAAAAACTTTGAAAATATCCCTTTTTTTCTATTTTTATATGTCTGCAAGGGAATTAAAACTTCGGCTTGCCGAAGTTAGCTTCCGCCCTCGTTTAATTATGATTTTTCTACAACGCTACACCAGCCATCGAAATGAAGATAATTTTTTTCACAAAATAATACTAAAAGGGTTTAAAAAAGCTGATTTAAAAAATACATATGATTTTAAATTTGCGTTTAATCCTCAAAAATTGAAATATCAGTTGCAAAAAGAACAAGAAAGGAAAACTAACTTCGGGCGGAGCCGAAGTTGATATACCCTTGTAGAATACTCTGTAAATTATATTCTCCAAAATTATTAATATGATGCATTCTTAATACTCATAAAAATACCATCTTCCTAAATTTAAAAACACTAAAGTTATGGCATTTCCAATCGTTCAGTTATATAGCAGCTATAGGATATAGTTGGCCGATCCTTATGAAGTTTGGTAGGTCAGATTGATTGCCCAAAAATAAAACCCATAGAAAATTCCAACTTCCTAACTTAACAAACACCAAAGTTATGGCATTTGCAATCGTTCAGTTATATGGCAGCTATAGGATATAGTCGGCCGATCCTTATGAAGTTTGGTAGGTCAGATTGATTGCCCAAAAATAAAACCCATAGAAAATCCCAACTTCCTAACTTAACAAACACCAAAGTTAGGGCATTTCCAATCGTTCAGTTATATGGCAGCTATAGGATATAGTGGCCCGATCCGGCTTGTTCCGACTTATATACTACCTGCAATAGAAAGACAACTTTTGGGAAAGTATCGAGCAGATAGCTTTAAAACTGAGGGACTAGTTTGCGTAGAAACGGACGGACAGACGGACGGACAGACGGACAGACGGACATGGCTAGATCGACTCTCCTGGTGATGCTGATCAAGAATATATATACTTTATAGGGTCGGAAATGTCTCCTTCACTGCGTTGCAAACTTTTGACTGAAATTATAATACCCTCTGCAAGGGTATAAAAATGTGGCGAAAAAAAAATGTTGTGTTGCACACAGTTTTGAATGCAATCAGCTCTGATAATGGGTATATCTATTTTTGGTTTTTAATACAAGGAATATATACGTATTTTTTTTGGTTCCATATAAGTACAAATTTTATCAAAACATGATGGAATGTACAAATAAATAACATAATCATTTAAAACTTAATTTTCAAAACATATCGCAGATTCTAACAAATTCAGGTTAAAACAAGAAAGAAAAGCTAACTTCGGGCGGAGCCGAAGTTGATATACCCTTGCAGAATATTCTGTAAATTATATTCTCCAAAACTTATCGTATGATGCATTCTTAATACTCATAAAAAATCCCAACTTCTTAACTTTAAAAACACCAAAGTTATGGCATTTCCAATCGTTCAGTTATATGGCAGCTGTAGGAAATAGTCGGCCGATCCTTATGAAATTTGGTAGGTCGAATTAATTGGCCAAAAATAAAACACATAGAAAATCTCAACATCCTAACTTAACAAACACCTAAGGTATGGCATTTCCGATCATTCAGTTATATGGCGGCTATAGAATATAGTCGGTCGATCCTTATGAAATTTGGTAGGTTGGATTGATTGGCCAAAAATAAAACCCATAGCAAATCCCAACTTCCTAACTTTACAAACACCAAAGTTATGGAATTTCCGATCGTTCAGTTATATGGCAGCTATAGAATATAGTTTGCCGATCCCGGCCGTTCCGACTTATATACTGCGTGCAAAGGAAAGAAGGGTATGTGCAAAGTTTTAATTCGATATCTTTAAAACTAAGAGACTAGTTCGCGTAGAAACAGACAGACGGACACACAGACGGAAGGACGGACATACTTATATCAACTCAGGAGGTGATCCTGATCAAGAATATATATACCTTATAGGAGATGTCTCTTTCACTGCGTTGCACACTTTTGACCAAAATTATAATACCCTCTGCAAGGGTATAATAAAGTACTTGACCAAATATACAATCTCTGATTTCCTTAAAAAAAATAAGTATTTTCTTAAGGCAAGATTTCCGTATGACTCACTCTCAGGTGTAATGATCAAGCCATGGAAAAAATTGCCAAGTATCGGGATTATAGGCGGCCCCGATATATTAAGCCTTTTTAAGAAGGTAACTCGGTGTCGTTTGCGTATATGGTCCCATGCCATGAGCCAGATTAGAGTTCCTGTGATAAGGAATATCCACATTTCCGCTGGCGTCCTTGTTGGTAATAACCTTCTCGCGGAAATTATAGTCGGAGATCAGGCTTACAACCGATATACAGTGGGTCTTAGTCTGACCGAGTACACTTACTCCACCTAACTGAAGCTATTACTAAAGAGCATGTGTTATATATACCAACTTACTTCCTTGTTCAATAAAAGACACAGAAAAAATATTTATAACGGTTTTTAATTATAACAAGATTTATTACTCAAGAAAAATCCACAGTAACCGAGGAAATTATAAATATATTTTTTTCAGTGAAAAAAAATTATTTAACTAACTCAAATAACATTTTTTTCTGCATCTAAGAAATAGCCAGTGGATTTAAAAAACAATTCAAAGCGTATAAAGTTTTTTTCAGAATTTAAATATCAAAACGTGTATTTTTCGCAGTGCGATTTAAATCGTCTTATACTAAATATACCCTTGCTAGAGGGCATTATAATTTCAGTCAAAAGTTTGCAACGCAACGAAGGAGACATTTACGAACCTATAAGGAAAATATATATTATTGATTAGAATCACCAGGAGAGTTTGACCGTCCGTCTATCCGACCATTCGTCCGATTGTACGCAAAATAGTCCCTGCGTTTTAAAGCTATCTGCTTGAAACTTAACCAAAAGTTGTCTTTCTATTGCAGGTTATATAGAAGTCGGAACGAGCCGGATCGGACGACTGTATCATCTAGCTCGGCTTGCCGAAGTTTTCCCCTTTTCTTGTTAGTATGTAAATAAAATATTATTGAACGACTAACCTGTAATTATGTTAACAATGTTGCAACTTGGTACTAAATTATTAGCATTTCTTTGCTTGGAATTTGAATTTAATTTGCACATAAGAATATTATGTAAATAAACAAGATTGGTTGGCTTGTTGTAAATAAAGCTTTGGAACTACTAATAACTTTCTTGTGCGTATTTTTAATTACTAGGGTACAAGAATCATATGACACACATATTACTTTGGAAAATCGAAAAAACACGTTTTTTAAAACATGGAAATTAATAGTTCTTCTTAATATATGGATATGGATAAATTGTTTATATTTTACCGAATGGCTTTTTCTTTTTTTGCTCTTCTTTTTTCTATTCTTACAAATTTGTTGAACAAAAAGAAAAAAACACAATTATTTAAAATGTATATAAAATATTTTATTTGACACGCACACTATTGGTCAAGAAAACAATTAAATACAATACATATCTAATATCTAAGGAATGTAAAAAGAGTATTCGTTAGCTTAGCGAAGATCGCCATATGGTTCGACTTCCAGAGGCTATCTAATCTTTGGCTTAGGCACGGGAATGCAATTTTTAGTTGGGTATTTCAGAGTGCCACTAAACTATGAACTACGACTAATGCACTAGGACGGCTTAACTATCTAGATGGCGTGGATGTCACGGTTCCGTTTAATCCTGCTTATTATCGCTGATGGCTGTGGAGGCAGTGGCCACACTCTCACCCGTTTGGGATTTGATGATGGCTGGCTTACGGCTTTTCTCCAGGAGCGGAGAACTGTCCGGAGATCCTTTGACACTCTTTTCGCATACCAAAGTGGATGCCTTGGATTTGAGTTCCTCGGCACTGGAGAACTGGGAGCGGCTCTTGTACTGACCATTCGTTTTGGTTTGGTTCTTCAGATCGTATCTACGATTCCGACACGAAGACACCAAATTCTGAACCGGTCCCCAACACAGGAGTATTATGCCAGTAGCCAAGCAAACTCCCGCAAAAATTTGTCCGGCAAGTAGAACAATTGGTAGTACCTTCAATTGATCAGCCATTGCTGGAGTGATTCTCACTTTTTGTTCAAACCATATGAGTGGAAAGAATATCTTGGGTATTCCTGTGTACAAGTCGATGCCATCGATTGGCTCCACCAACATGTTCACTTGGAATCGGGCAGCCACCTCAAGTGGAATTCCAGTTCTTGGCTCCACTACCATATAGAACTCGTGATCCTCCTGATTGGGACTTAAGCCCTCCACCTGGTCCACATAGTAACGATCTCCATTGAAAAAGTGCGGGTAGGACATGAAAACAGGAGATCCAAAGCGACAGGAGCTGATGTTCATCACTCCCGAAGGAACACATTCGCCACCACAGTAACAAAGGTTCTCAGGGTACAGAGTGCCTGCAATAAAATTATTTTTATTAATAAGGCTTTATTTAAAATGTAAAATATATTAAAACAAATTTAGAGCTTGTTTTAAATATAAATTAATGCTTATCAAATGTTTTCTATTGATTAAATTTTAGCACAGTCTCAAACCAAGAAGTTATTCTTATTAATACTCATACTTCAGCACTGTAAGCTGTAAAACAAAACGTAAACCTGTTTGTAGAATAATTATAATAATAAAGTAGCGATTTAATAATAGTTATCCTACAATTAACTGGCTATCAGTACCAATATTATTTGCTAATAGACACATAATGTGCGATGCCTATTTTATGCAACCATTTCATAATATGGGAAAAAAGTGTATTCATGCATTCACTTAAATATTTAATTATACAGGTGTTTTTTTTATTTTATGCATTCGAAAAGCATGACAAATATGTTCTGATCAAAGCTCACCATTATCCACAGAACGAGGTCCGCCAGAAAATTTGTAACCTTCCAGTCCTTCGATATCCACTGTTTCCACATAATCCAATGGGATTGTGCGGCACATGTCCGGCGTAAATAGACCCACACTATCGCCGGGCTTGAGATGTTGTGGCTGGAACTCTCCGGCGGATCCATTGGTCATGCCGCAATAGGAATCGTAAAATCCAGTGTTTTCCTGATAATTCCACGCGTGCATCTGACCCAACTTCGACAGATGATCGGCACCCGTAAAGACATTAAACACGCCCGTGAGATCGGCACTTCCATTGCGTGTATAGAACCAACCGAATTTATCAAAAGGAACCTTAACCTCATCACCGAAAAGGGGCATGGCAATGGCCACGTCGATCATTGTATCTCTGTATCCCGTGAAGAGGAGTTCGTCAATCGATTTTTGGACGGACATTTTGGCACCGTACATATTAAGACCCAAATCGACCAATTTTCGCTTAGCTAGTATCCAATGTTTTGCAGTGGCACCAGCGGACTGAAATAAAAATTGTTTATTAGAGAAAATTGAATTTGTTAAGTTAACCAAAGATAAGTTTTCAATTCAAACAAAAAAAATATTTTTATATATCCTTTTTTAGGAGGTACAGCTCAAAGAAGATGCCAAAATCCTTTACATTTTTAATGACATTAAAAATGATATATTTTGTTGAGGTCTCAATTTAATTTCCAATAAAGACCAATATTTTTATATATTTTGAATCTTGAATTAATTTTGTAGGAATGACACTTCTAATTATATTCCCCCGTTAAGTTATAGAATATATTTTTTATTACTTGAAAATGTTTGAACGGTACCCACCAGAGCCACAGCATTTAGGGTGTTAATCTGATCATCCAGACTTCCATTACTGCCCTCCGCATCGAAGTAGAAAAAGCTGAGCCTGCGATAGCTCACGGATGCGTTTTCCGGATGCCAGTGGATGTCCACCTTGTCGGGTCGCTCGGTAAAGCGATATGGACCCACTTGCTCCAAAATGGGCTTCGTGGAGAGATTGCCAAAGTCCTCGGGATTCGTCCAGTTGAAGAGGTAAATGTCCAGACTCAGTTCCAACGGCGGACTTTTCCAATTGTCGTAGACACGTGTGTTGGGCGCCAAAGCCATTTCCTGCCGAAAAGCAAAAGCCTCAATTAGAATTAATTGAAAATCTCAACGAGTTTTCCTCGATCTCTGACTCGAGCCAATTGAGAGGCGGCTGTTTTCCTTTGGCTCTCAATTGGCTTTAGTCGCTAATCGAATGCAGCTGGCCGGGCCAACACATGGCCGAATCTGAACCCTTGTTAGCGGCTGGGATTACCTTCTGCATGATCCAATTGAACAGGTCCACCCAGAACAATCCGCACAATATGCCAAATAGTCCCAGGCAGAAGCCGAAAATACCGATAATTAATTTGCGATTGCTTTTTTGGCCCCACATCGCGCTATTTTGTGTTGGCATGGCTCACGCTGGGCGACTGTGTGGATATCTAATGGGCTCTGTAATGATATGCAAGTAAATAATACAGCAGAGGAAATTGACAAACTAATAAAACAATTGAAACAAACAAATATCAAATGGGTGCATACAAAAATGCAATGCAAGTAAAGAGATTAAAAATAATTAAATATATTAATTTCCATGATTTTTTTAGTGATTATAAAATTGTTATATAATAACAATTATTTTTTTAGTCGATTATATTTGCTAATCCTACAAGAAATTTATTATATTAATGTACTAAATATTGATTAAGTTTGTCCAAATAAGAGCTGCCTACTTTTAGGCCTCACTTATAAGAAATGAAACAAATAATATGTAAAATCTGATATTTTATTTAAAAGTACAATGAAAACCTTATTGATAAAAGAATGGCGAACAAAGAAAGGCCCAACAATGAATCGAATATAAACAAAATGCACAAAGTGCAACACATTATTGAGTGACGAATTCACATAGCGTCTATTTTCATCAATATAATTGAATCAATTTAAGCAAAGCGTGACTTTCAATTGCTGTTTACACTCATGTAGAATATAGTAAGCCCGGCAAACACATATATATACAGAAGTATAGTCGAACCCCATATCAGTGGTGATAATTACAAAGCTTCCCCCGACACATTACAATGGTGTGTTTTAATTAGTTATGATAGTTCCAAGTTTCGCTATATGATCAGTAATTATAAACTCACATTGCAAATACAATGCATGCATGTATATAATATGAACAGATAAGAAATATGCGGTAATTGATAAAATTTTAGTTATTTTAATGGCTTAATAATTCATTCCAAGAATATTAAAACAAGAGATTACTGAGAGGGAACCTTAAAGGATAATGCATTTGAGAAGAGGCTATAAAATTTCCTCATCGAGGGTATCTACTGTATCCCGATAAGGGGATTCTGAACTCCTAGGTGAATAGACCCATGAGGAAGCAAAAGATAATTGAGGAAATTGAACTGCACTGCACTTATCGCTCATCGAGAACCCATCCCCTGACCATTATTCGATCAATCTGCTCTAGGTAACCATCACTATATATCACTTCAGCATAAATATTGCATATGTACATATGCGACTGGACCGCATCTCTGTGATATATCGTCATAATTGAGTCTATCAATTGACCCCGCTGTGAGCTATGGTTGGGTCTCTGACACTTTCCGTTATTGTACATAAATACGAATACGAATACGAATCTATATATATACCCACATTTATATGCCTATTCGGGAGCGTGTCAGTTCTGAGTTCTGGTGTCTGGTAAATTGATATGATTATGTCTTTTGAATGATGTATAGCTGTCGAGCGTTTGTCGGCGCCTTTTTATTGTCTTCACAATTATTCTGGAGTGGGTTTTAATTGAAATGGACATTGGACAGGTACATCATATATAGTTCATCCCACAATTTTAATTTAATTCAATTAGATCAAGAGAAATCTTACTCATCAAAAATTCAGATTTTAGAGGAAATCTGAATTTAATATGTGTGTTAACCTAGGCTTTTGGCTAGAAAAAAATAATTTTAATCTTTTGTATTCAAATCAATTCACGAAAAAGCTGAGTATTTAAACGATCTTCATTAAAGATATGTTTTTTCCATGCACAAGAGATTCTTCAAAATATTCTTTCAAAGCCGTAAACCTCAACACTGAATAATTGCCTTTAATTAAGTTAAATATTTGTTACTGACCGACAAACTCAATTCATTATCAAATTAAGCATTTTCAAGTCTTTCACTCTGGCTGTTGATCTTACTTATTAACATTTTTATGAATAAACTGCACGCTTTTATGCATTCTCTATGCAAATGGCCAGAGAGCACTGAACTCAAAAATAAAGTCAAAGGGAAATGAACAAATTGTGAAACAAGTTAAGTCCAAATGGCAATCTTTCAAGATTCCAATAACAACCTACCCAGTGTAAGCAAATTAGAAATAGCTAAAGTGTCTTGTTGGAGTAGGTATACACTTAATTAGTGCAAGTGCACTTAAACACTACGATAGTCAGATTTTACGTTAGATTTTTTTTAATATAATCCAAGTAAATCTACTAAGTTCTGCTGTTTTCCAACCCCATTTGACCACAGAATCTGCCATCGAGATGAAACCGCAAATGGGAAATTCGACACAGTTCGTAAAAGGAACCCGCTACAAATCAACAGCTAAGTATTTTGCATTTGCTTTGGCGAGTTCTTTGATAATGAGCTACGAGTATCGGCATGCAATTAAATTTTCACAACCTTCAAGTACGGAAATACTCGTGACGATTTTAGACTAAGCCAAAAACTAAAACAATATATTTGATTTCGGTAATTTGCAAGCTAAATGTCGTCCCAATGGGCGTGCGTATTCAAAAATAGACTTGGTTTAAAGTCATACACACTGTAAATGGTTTTCTAGTTTTAGACAATCGAACTTATTTGGAAATCAACTTAGGTCTTAAAATGTTTTTATTATTCGAAGAACTTGCAAAGTTACTGAAGTAATTCTAAGCCCTTTTGAATTATAAATAACTTAATTGTTTGTGAACTGATTATGTGTTAATTATTATAAAATTGAAACTTAAATGCAATTGCGAATGCAATTAGTTGTTAACAAATTCAGTTTCCATAAACTTGAACTTTGTTTAAACGGGTCGTATGCTTAATTTGTCATGGAACAGCTGTTTCCATTGAGGAGTAACAAATTTGCTTTGTTCATCGATTGTTCAATTAGCAACTTGCCAGAAAATGAATGAGACTCTTCTTTAGTTAAAAGGTCCCATTAACGTGCAAATGAACAAAGAAAATATAAGTAAATATTTATTTAATTGTAATGAACAATGGTTGGAACATTTTTTATTACACGCAATTCCAATTAGTAAGAAGCGATTTTGATTTATAATCAATGAGTTTATTAAGTAACTGCTGATTTATGAGTTAGCAATCTAATCTAAGTCTTAGTTATTTTTGTAGGAAATGTCTTGCCCAATTTATAATATAACTATACAAAATAAATGAAATAAATTAAAAATAAGTAATTGTCTGCTAGGAGGAACTCTTCAATAAACATTAATTGCATTTAAAAAGAACTCGAAACTGCAATTAATTGAAAGCACTTTTCAAGTGTCTTAAACTTAATATGGTCATCAGGTCGGATACGCATTCGTTTTTCAAAAATCTATTTAAAGTTCATATTAAGCATACGACCTGTTGATAAAATGAAGTCATGTTTCTCGAACTTCTCTCTTTTGGACCCAAATATTTATATTTAAACTTTGCCTAACAACCGCAAAAAAAGGTTTTTAAAGAATTGTTTCTTTTTTATATTTTCTTCAGCAACTGTTTCCCCTGAGGATTGCCAAGATTGCAGGCTAATTTTAAAACATTAATCACACAATCAACAGGTCGTCCGGTAGCATAAGCTGAAAGCCCTTTGTTTCGCATTCCGGCACTCTTATTAAACCAAACAGAAATGCCACACAAAGCCAATATAAACACAATAAGAATGTATAATATAGGTTGACACTGTACATATATAGTTGGGTTTATGTCTGGCGAATATTTCTCACTCTTTGTCGAGTTGATTTCATTTAATGGCCTGTAATCTTAATAAGTCTGCCGGCGATTAATCGAAATCAAGCCAAAACTGAATGTGGTTAACTGGACAGGAAATGTGAAGTAATTGCGTGATATTCACGAAGGAGTTTTCCCCTGCCGTTCCCAATTGCCTTAGTTTTCGTTTTAAAGGCACTCACTTGACTTTTATTTGCCAAATAGAAACAAATCACGGTTTTCTTTTTCAATATTTTCTCCGGATGTCCTTGTGAAGAATTTGAAATTCGATAAGGATGTGGACACAACGCTTGAGCACGTGGAGGATTATTTTACACAGAGGCCGGACAAGTGGGCGCGAGTCTCGAGAAAATTCCGTGGAGTGTTACCGCTTTGCCCGGCGGCTTCGCTGCGACTGTGCGGCGGACTCTCGGCGAACGGGACCGCGAGCAGCGCCGCCAGAGAGAGGCGGGAGTGAACTGGGGGCGGGGCAGAGCGGAGCGGTCGCCGTTCGTTGTTCCTGCTCTGCGGTTGCGGCCGATGAATGTCAGTCAAGTGCGGCACATCGGTATGGAAATGGGCTTGAGAAGAGCTCTAAATGTCTGTGTGCGAGTGGGTGTTTGGGTTAATTTACGCTTTAGGCTTTCCATAGTTTTGCCATTGAATTTTGAATTAAACTACATGTAATCTGAAACGCGAGCATGACTTTCAAACTGTGAAGTGCATCCGAGTGCAAGCGTATTCTGAAAAAAACAGTGTTACAAAATATTAAACACTGCGAAATTCATCCATCCTAATGAACATACAGGTTTTAACCAATATATTTTTCGAAGAAAAATAACTAGAAGCTTCTAAACATATATAAAAAGAATGTAACCAACATAACTTGTATTCATTTTGGAAAAGTGGAGGATTTATTGATTTCACCAAGCAAAATTAAAGTATAGTTTCGAATTTGCCTAATTTTTTTTGTTTAAAAATAAATTATACTAAAAACTTTAAAACATTTAAAATAAAATGCACAATATATATATTTATTAGGTTTTTTGGTTATTCATGAATTTTCTAGAAATAATAAAAAGAAATGATGTGTAACTTTTTTTTTAACAAAGCTAAATCACAATCTGCTTTAAGAAGTCCTTATGCACTTGGGTTATCGTTAAATAGAACGGATTTTCGCATCTGAAACGGGTGGTGTGAAAAAGTAAACAAATCGTAAAGAAAAAAAAACCGAAATTGATAACAAATTTCCAAAGCCTTATCAATGCGGCTAATCGTGATGATTAGCACTGGGTGAACACCGAACATGCACGACTAACCTCATACACTTGTAAGCTGCGTAAATCGACAGGCGATCAGACCAAAGTTTCATTGGTGCGAAACTCCCCAGCAAACCTCCCATGGCTGAGGCAATAAAACAATCAGATTTCGTTGTCTCAGTGCGTATTCAGGTTGGCTCTTACTCCCTTATTGGATTAGTCTTTTTGCCTCCTTTCACATGGCGTGCGCACTGGGATTAGGGTTTAGTTGGGGCAAAGGTCCGTTACCGCAGCAGATTATGTTGCAATGCTGACAAGTGGGGCAAGCATAAGTGGGCCAAGTCATCCCCTAACTTCGAATTGGGTCTGGGGCAACGTTTTCCATTTGATTTCGTTCTCTGCTCAAATGTAAGGTAAGACTGAATTCAAACAGCTTCTGTCAGCTAGCGATAAAGTATTGTAGCGAACAGCTGTTGGTCAATGGATTACGTTACGTAAGAAACGGTAACGTAACATTTAAACACGAGTGAAAATAAAATAAAATTGTTGAATTAAAAACTGACATTAGCTGTGAATATTATTATCAAATGTATTGTTTTTTTTTTTATTTTCATCCTTGTATTATTGTATTAAGATGATAATATTTTTACAAGATTTTCATTATAATTGCCTTTCGAAAAGAAATATACAAATTCAGTTATTTAAAGATCAAATTTTCTGCGAGAAGTAGAGGGAATTAATAATATTTTGTGGTGTAGTAATATTAAGTGAGCTCACGCGTTAATACAAAAATTACCAAACAATCCACCAAAGTATGAAAACAAAATTATCTATAGTTTCCCAGTTTTTTTAATTATGAAGAAAACATAAAAAGGCTTAACTTCCAGGATGGACCTTATTTAGATTGAAGATAATTTTATAAATAATTAATTTCTGCTTATCAATGAAACTCAAATATTAAAAATGTTGTCTTGAAAATTTATATAAATTAACCGGCGAAAATTGAATCCTTTAAAACATATTTCAATATATTGAAATTTAATCCGTTTCAATTTAATAGTATCTTGTCCTTTGCATACTTTAAAGAAAGTGAGATTTTAAAATCCTTTCATTAATCACCAAGGTGGATAGAATGCGAGTTATTTGTTGAGTTAGAGCCGGACTCGTCCATGTGATGCGTAAAACGAAACTGGATGAGAATAATAAGGTAGCAAGTAGCAGCGCCAGTAATCTGTAAGATACAATTTAAAAATATAAAGCAATGCATTGCTTAATAAAATGCAGAAACATACGGTAAAAATAAGCGTACGATCCAGACGAAAAAGTCCTGCGGCTGTGAAAAGCACCTTTCTATGCGATAGCTGCAAGGAGAGTCGGAAGAGACGATCTCTTAGCTCGGGATCATCGGTGATATTAAGGATTTTGTGCACTATAGCGGCTGTATAGCTGCTGTGCAAAATGGTGCGACTGCTGGCCTCCACGATCAACACGATGATCACTATATACCATATAAGCTGCATGAGGAAAAAGGCAAAGAATTCATCGGCCTCAAAAACATCCAATCGTTTGGGATTCAGAATGGCCTCTAAAATGTAAAAGTCATCAAAAAGTATGAATAGAAAAGATATGGCAATTATTCCAAGTAGCGGGTATGTAAAATACTCCTCGATGGTCTGGCAAATATCGCATAGAAGATTGTGGATGTTGGACACCTGTTTGATGGCATACTCCGGATTGAGGCGTATTACAGAGGTAACACTGTACCGCTTCATGGGGGTGCTGATTAAATTTCGTAGGCGATGGGAGTAGCGTCTGTGATTTACCACCGAGTGCATGGGGGAGAGTTCCAAGGCGTTATGTTGCTCTATATGGGCATCTAGGATATCCTGCAGGATCTAAATTATAAAATAAAAATGGCTCGTATTGCGATCTTTTTAATTAGTATTCCAAAGTGAATATAATAAGTAAAAGCAATTAAAAAAAAAAAGGAAACTTTTCAGAAACGAATTCCTTTGTTTTGTTTATATATTTGTTATATTTCAATTAAATTAAAAATAATCCAAATATATTTAAGTTTAAAAACATAAAACATAATATAATGTGCGGTTTACTAAAAATGTTTATTAACTATAAATATTTTTCTTTATTTTCTTCTTAACATATTTTTTAAATTTCTTTTAACAAAAATGAATTAACAATTATATGAGTTTTCATGTTTGTAATTCTTTCTTCAACACATTACTGTTATTTTTGTTCATATAGCAACTGCATATATATGCAAACCCCATGACACTCACTTCGTTCAACATGCTAAACCGACTCCTGGCCAAATCCGTGGTGCAAAGAAACTTGAAGACCACCAGGCAGATATTGATGTGCGGCAGGGCGAAGGCGGTGAAGGTCACAAACGAGGGCGAGATGGTGGCACTGACCAAGAGGCTATAGCTCACACACAAGTAGATGACGTTGAACAGCAGCATGCCCAAGGATATGAGGAAACTGGACAACAGTATCCTTCGGTAGTCCAACTTCATGCCCAGTCTCACAAATAACTCGTCCACCACGATGTTATTCTGGATGATGCCGACCAATCTTTGCCTTTTGAACATGGCGAAGCCAAAAATGGTGGACATGGCTAGAATGCCAGTTAACCGAAGGGTTCCATCGCTGAATCTGGTGATGTTCGTTTGGAAAAAGTAACCAATTATGGAATCACCCTCCTTCACAGAGATTCCGAAACACAGGACGAAGAACAGGAAGTGCACTATGCCGGCGATGAAAGAGTACCTGGAGGTTTGTACCTCCTTTCGAGGATTAAGATTCAACCGAAATGGAGCCAGGCCCAAAAGGGAAATGAATGTTAAGGGTCGGAGTGCCTCAAACACATTATCCGCCTGGGAAAAGCGCTCCCACAACTTAAAGGCCATCGAGAGTCCTTATTGATTTAAATATAAAAAGTCCGCTAAAGGAGTAACGTCCGCTCGATTCGCGTATTTTCCGCAAACTGAAAACGGAAGTCTTCGGCAACTGATGATGATGATTGCCTTTGTGTCAACTCGAGACCCGACTGATATATCATATATCAAAATCGTTAAAGGGCTGTCACACACCTAGGCACACGTAATACGCTAATATCAATAATAGCAAATATTTAATTAACCTTAAACGATCAGGGTGGACAAGGTTATTTACTAACAAGTTCAACGAGTTCACCGAAATTCGTGGCATGGCCATTCATTACCATTTCCAAACAATTTATGACAGCCATTTCATGATCACGCAAAAGTGTCCGCAATGCAATAATAGGCCCATTTTTTTATAGTATTTTTTTTTATTAATTTATTGATGGGCAGCTAGAAAAACGAAAAGAGCAAAAAGGGTTTATTCTTCCGTTCTTGTTGTATTTATTTTTTATACCGTGAGTGCCTTCTTTAAATCGAATATAATTATCAATTTCCAGCAAAGCTGCAAACAATTTATCATTGCATACTTTTTAGAATCAATAAAGGTTGTAAATAAGACGTATAATTTTAATTTATTTAAATAATACTTTCCCAAACCAAGTTGGTAAATTTAAAAACTTCTGTTAGATTTGAACAACTGAAACAGGCACAAAAAAAATGTATTTACCAAAATGTTATTAAGCTTCGTTGAACAAGTTTACTTTCTATTTTTAAGTGCACCCTCCATAAATGTTCCCCATTTAAAAAGACAAAATTCTTAAACGATTATAACTATATATTTATTTTTTAATCGTTTGTTTACATTGACAGAAAGTATTTTTTAAAGGCAACATTAACAAAAAATAGACATTCTGCTGGACGAAATCTACATATATCATTTCACCGGCTCCATCGACTCCTCTGCGCTCCCCATGTTGTTTGTAACGACACTAAAAACACATCTAAAGCGTATGATTCGTCATGTTATTGTAGGCCTCACAGCAGGAACTGCCATTCCCATAGCCATGGTTTGGGGAATTGGAGGTAAATTGCAGTAATATGATGAGATAAGTGGTCAAGGCTCCGCTGATCTGTTGAATATTACAAACGAATTAGTAAAATTACAGAAATATATGAAAACACCTTACCGTAAAATACAAAGTTCGGTCAATGTTGAATAGACCAGCTGCGGTAAAGTTTAT